ATTCAGCTGCTGTTGAAACTGATCAGTTTCAGCAGCGGCTGAATCTGGACGCCAGTTCCGACTTACATACAGATTCAACTTAAGAACAAACCTACAGTCCCTATCTTGTACATAACCTGGGGGCTGCCTGTAATTTTAAACTTACTCTCTTCCAGTCTAAGAATCAACCTAAGAAATCTCAAGTATCACAAAGCCTTCAGGCTTGCTTTGGTTTTCAATACTTGACCGATCAGTATTTTTATAATTTATACTTTTGTATTTTCCCCAAATTCCTATTCGGAATAACAGTTATTTTAAATTAAATTTTAAGGTGGCACCTTGTTGGCTTCTACGTTATTACATGCATCAAATTTGAAGTAGTTTAATGCTCATCTTCTAGTGTTAATAGCTATTGTTACATAACGTTGAATAGAGCTACAACTGCAAAGTGGCTTTACAAATTCCTTTACAAGTACATTAAAAAAAGCTATAGTTTAATATCTCATCATACGCTCCTCACATTTCAAATACCTGTATTTCGATAGCCTCAACTTTACATATATTCCATAAAGAATCTTATTTGACGTATTAAAGAGTCAACTCTTTAAAATTTCATTATTGCTTTTTTTCATACTTGTGTCAAGATCTGGGTATAAGTTTGAATTGGGACTGCAAAGAGACTGTTTTGTCTCTATGCTGGTATGTTTTAGACCTAACATCAGTCTCAATGCAAGAAGCGTAGTGGCTTCAGCTTCAAGCCCACTGAGATGTAGGTAGCTCAATTTCTTCTTTTTCATAACAATAACCTGAAAACTAAAACACTAAACTCTGCAATCCATAACATTTACCGAGGAAAAGAAAATACCTATCTAAACAGAAATTTGAATCATTTTAATTCTCATAAAGATGTCCCAGCCAAATCAACACCAAGGCTCTGGAGGAGGTGTGCAAAGTAGAGTCAGCAATTAATTATGGCAGTCTGTGAGGAAACATAGAGTCCGTCAGTTCAAGTATCTGATATGCTTCCTATAATAAAAATATTTATTAGCAAATGAAAAGAGGCAAAATCTAGTGGAATATTTGCATACAAGGTTCCGAGGGCCATATGCCAGACACTTAAAAGTGAGTACAGGGAAATTTCATAGCAAATTCAATGTTATGGCTAAATATTTTATCCAATACCACAAACTAAAAAAGGAGAGAGAAAAGGTTGATTTGTGGATCCAGTGGAACACTACATTATACACACTATTAAACAGGGTGAAATAACTTTAATTTACTCATCTGATTTACTGGGAAAACCAAGTCACTGTCATATATTTTGTTGTAACCGGCACAATATTTTTGAAGAAAAGAGAGGTAAAATTTTGCTACATGTTTTTGCCTTAGGTGAACACTGTACATATGCATATTGTAAAACTTATTTCACACAGCATGTTCAGTGAATTAGAAAAAACAAACAAAAGAAAAATCATTTTAATATCGTTTTGTAGGCAATTTCCCTTTTACTTATTAGTCAAAATATTTTTTAACATTTCTATGCTAATCTATTTTAGCACTTGAAATTGAAGTCATAAATATTATATTTATATAGACATACAGTATTTACCATCTATTTCCAAGTCATATATTAATTAGAAATTGGCTGTGAAGTTTAGTGATATTTTCCACCTGTGTGTTAAGTCAATGACCCATTAACTATGCTGACAAGAAATGTATATACCTGATGACTTCAAATTTCAGATGTCTATACTCATATATGTTTCCATATAGAATATGTACATTTTGTTTACATTATTTGAATTCAAATATTTAAAAGTTTCTAAAGGTAATAAGCATTTGATGAAAATTTCTGCTCAGAGCTATTTCTAATGCAAAAAGAGAAATGATGTTTTTGAAATCAATGGTGATTTAAGTATATTGGTATAAATATATTGGTATAAGGATATTGGTATAAGCTTTATGAAACTGACAGCTCTGTTCTGAAACTTTGATAAAAAAAAGATTCACGTTTTTAGAAATAAAAAAATAAAATAGGCATATCTTTAAAAAAAAGCGAGAGAAAAGAAATCCTGATTGTTACAACTAATGAAATAGCTGATGACAAAATAGTAGTCTTTTTGATTCTGATCACAAAAAATAAACTGGTAGTGACAGGATATGATGGATAGATTTGACATCCTGGCAAATCACTGTCATTGATTCAATTATTCTAATTCAGAATAAAAGCTGTATACAGTATGTGTTTATGCTACAGTGGAGTTTTTTAAGTGATTGACATTCATCATATTAGTTAGACAGTTTTAAAAGCTATGTCTTTGTTTTACACACAGTGTTGTCAAGAACAAATAAAGTAAAACCTGGATAGTATAAGAAAAGCAAACCATTTAATCAACTTTTCAGTTTGAATCTTATCAAATACATTAACATTATTGTATTATAGTAAAATGTTATTTGGAAAGTCAATTTCACTCTAGCCATATTATTTCCTATTATAAAGGCTGAATTTTAGGTAAGCTAAGGTAATCTAAAATCTGGTTTGGAAGTACCAATGTACCTATATGCCACCTTTCAAAATGGAAGTCTGCTTCATAAGAAATAATATAAAACAATGTAATTTACAGATCAGTACTGCCAAGTATTCCAAATTCAAAGTAATATATAAGAGAGGTTTAAAACATATTTAATAGTTTTTTATCTGGAAATTACAAACACGCACCCATGCACACACACACACACACGCACACACACACAAAATATTCATAAGTTCATAAATAGTGTACCTAAAGGTATGAAAACCTGAATTAGTTTTATTTTCTGTTGTGTTTTAGACCAGAATTCTGTGATACTCTTCCCCAAGCTCCAGTGCACTCTTCTGGTTTTCTACCATTAATGTAGCTGTCAGTTTGAATTTCAATCTTGAATTATGTCTGTTGACATAATTTCATAGTGCTGACTTCAATTGTTTGGGATTACTGTTTTGAACTACACAAGGAAATCAATTCTTTTTTCAATGTTTACTAAATTCCACTCAAGTGCATTTTAATACATTTATTAACCCATAAGGCAAACTAATTATCTATAATATATTCTTACTACGGAAAAATTCTTTATCAATTTAATTATTGACACAGTAGAACACATATGAAAAACTGCAATACATTTTTGAATGCATTGTTTATATACTTTGTAAAATAATGTCATATATACTACTTTTGGTTTTGACATCAGATGTACTATTTTTTTTTCCAAATAATAATTGCTAAATTTGGCTTTAAAATAAGACATGATAATGAATTCCTTAATCTCATTTAATAATGTTCACAATACTGTCTAATTTATATTTTACATTTATAATCAATGTTTAATACAATCATGTAAATCAGACACATTTAGCTTGTGAAAAACAACACATTTGTTATTGTTTCATTAAACATCTTCAACTTTAACAACAAATATAATTCTGATATTTCTCTGACAAGAACAAAATATTCTACATTTCCAGAATAACAATGCAATGCAGCATTTTTTCAATGTAACAAAACCTATGAGGCATATTTTGTAAAAAAAAAAAAAGCAAACAAATAACAAACGTCTTCAAAGAAACCAAGATGAGAAAACGAGGCCTCTTCTCATAATGGGTATTTTTAAGGACTGCTGGGTCAAATCATTAAGAAAAATATTTTCATAAGTCATTAACAATCATAATTAGAGTGTCATGTACATCGGAGTGAAATTGCTAAGTAGAAATCACTAGAAGTCCAGGTGCTTCTTGCCCGTGGCCATCGCACCACATCCTGAGCTCAGCAGTTTGGTGGATTCTGCCAGATCCTGTTTGCTTGAGCGGCTCACTGTGTCTGACAAGTCTGGAGGCAAATGCAGTCGCTATGGCGGAAGATTTTCAGCAGAGAGTGGGAGAGAGAAAGAGAGAAAAGAAGAATTGTAACTAAATTTGCTTTTGATAGAATATTTCAAAATGCATTTCTATTTTTCTGTTAATCAATGTTTACTTTTATTTATCCAATATTGTTGCAATCATTTTTCAAACTGGTATCCAGATATTACAAATGGTATCTTTGCAAAATATTGCTTTTTGTTGTTTCTTGTTTCTTCCCCCTCATAAATATTTCTGAAGTGGAAATCTATGTTTGTAAAATGTATCTAGATGTAACTCTGGGCCTGATCCTTAATATCTTGAAGTAAATGGCAATTGTGCTTGAGCATTAACAGCAAGATAGAGCCCTGTACTTGATATCTCATCACAATATAAACATTACTGTATCTCAAACATTCTACACAGACAAATAATGTCTTGTGACTGAGTTTAAAGGCAATAAGCAATATATCACTGATGATAGATACATATCACATTGATTACATAACATAAGAAGCTAAAGGCTTGTCTATCTACTTACTATAAGATTGCCAAATCTTAATAATAATACTTTTTATTTCCATGACATATTCCATCTGTAATTCTTATACAATTATATACTAATAAATTCAACCTTGCAATACCATGTGAGGTAATAAACACTGTTGAGTCCACTTTACAAATGAGGAAACTGAGGCAGACATATTACATGATTTGTCCACAATCAGCTCTGGTCTACACTGGGGAGTTATTTTGAAATAACAAGTGAAAAGGCTGACCTATGTGGCTATCCTGTTTAAATTTACAGTTCTCACGACAGCAGGATAGCAATGAGAGAGGTTGGTGGATGTTGCCAGACCTCAGAGATTTATGTACACTTTTATTTGCTGTTTTACTGAACTATGTTTTTCTTATATTTAAGTTGTTGATTTTAAGTATATACATTTTCCTTTTATTTTGTGCCTTCTTGACTTTTTTGAAGATTCTACTTTATAAAAACTTAAGAAAAACAACCGAAAAGCAGCGCACACAAAAAAAAATCCCACCTTTTTTCTCGCAATCACAGAACATGGGACTATACACCTGGAACAGATGTCATCAAGTCCAGCCACCTTTGCTGAGGCAGGACTAAGTATACCTAGGCTATCCCTGACAGGTGTCTGTCAAACCTGTCCTTAAAAACCTCCACGGATGGGGATTCCACAGTTTCTCTTGGAAACGTATTCCAGAGCTGGCTCACCTGGATGGTTAGAAAAGTTTTCATAAAAGCTAATCCAAATCTCCCTTCTTGCAGGGTTAAACCCATTTATTCTTGTCTTATTTTCAGAGGACATGGAGAATTAATCACAATCCTCTTTATAACAGCCCTCAACGTAGTTGAAGACTTATCAGGTCCCCACTCGGTTGTCTTTTCTCAAGACTTAACATGCCCAATTTTTTTCACCTTTTATTAGTTTTTCTAAACCTTTTATCACTTTTGTTGCTTTCCTCTGGACATTCTTCAATTTGATCACATCTTTCCTAAAACGTAGCATCCAAATTGGACACAGTACTCTAGCGCAGGTCTCATCAATGCCAAGTGGAGCAGGAACATTTCTTCCAATATCTTACATATGGGCTACGTCTACACTGGCATGATTTTCCGGAAATGCTTTTAACGGAAAAGTTTTCGATGACCCTGTTATTCTCCAGGTACTTACAAACTGATCACAAATTTGGTCTAGTATCTTTCCAGGTATCAAAGACAGGCTGGCTCATAATTCCTTGGAGCGCTTTGTTGTCCTTTTCAAAGTTAGGTACTGTGGTTGCAAGGCCTGCTGATGGGGAAGAGGGCAACTGCCCTGGGGCCCACTGATTCAAAAGGGTCCAGGGCTCCCAGACACCATTGCCACTGCAGTGGTAGCTGAAGCCCCAGCTCCTTTAAATTACCACCAGTGTGCCATGTGGAGAGCTCCAGGAAGTGCTGAGTGCTCGGGGGGAGCATGTCGCCATCTAGGTGACACCGAGGGATGGCTGTCCCTGGCTGGCTAGGGGGAGGGGAGGGCAGTGCAGCACACTCCAGGCGGCTCTGAGGGCCAGCTGCCCCAACCCTGGCCCTTCCGTCTGCGGCCTGGCCCCTTTCGGAAGCACAGAACTGCCCCTCCTTGCCAAAGGGCCAAGCAATTCTGACGGCCCCCGTGACGGACGCTCATCTCTCCAGTCTGGGACCTCACCCATCAGCCATGATTTCTCAAATATCATTGTTAATAGTTCTGAGCATGCTTCAGCACCCTAGGATAAATTTCATGACGTCCTGCCTACTTGAGTATATCTAACTTATCTAAATATTGGTCAGCCTTGTTATTTCCCTGTTATGGCTCATGTTCACTTCCCCTTGTTATTAATTGTGTTGAGTATCTGATCACAATTAACTATTTTAATGAAGACTGAAGCAAAATCAGCAGTCAACACCTCAGCCTTCATAGTGTGATCAGTTAGTAGCTCTCCTTCCCCACTGTACAATCTGATTGTTAGATTTATTGTTGGATTGCAGGGTTGTACAACTGGAGCTAGCTCTAGAGATGGACTATGTGCTATTTGCCTAACAATCCGGCTGGTTAAACATTAGAGTATTTTTTTATTAACCAGTAGGTGCAGCAGTCATTCAAAGCTGCATGTAATACAAATTGAACCTCAAGTCTGGCACCCTGGGGACTGACTGGTGCCAAACCAGAGAATTTGCTAAACCATGGAAGGTCAGTATTGTGTAGTAGCATTGCCAACACTGCCACTGCTTACTGGGCACTTAGAAGACATTTTGGGGTAAATTAGAGCTAAATAACAGCACAGAACACTGAGAGCCAGGACTGGTAGCTGTAAACAAACTTTATGGGACCATGGGAAACTTGGCCACACTCATAAAAAGTGGACATGTACCTAACTAAAATCATGCCGACCACAGACGTTGCCAGACCAGAGAGTGCTGGACTAGAGAGGTTCAACTTGCAGAAGAAAAGGCTATGTGTATATTGGAGCGTGTGTTTTCCAGGAGATCAGAGAAGACATAAAAGTTATGTACAGAATGAAAAGGCATACAATATTGCTGAAAGCGAGTATGTATATATGCAATACATTACATGTGAGGCATATCATTATCCAGAAATATATGTGCTCTTTTATAGAAAACTGTACATTGTGTTTACAGCTATCTGCACTATGTAAGTCTTCAATGGAAAAAAGTTTACAAAGCACACAATGTCATTATTTTTTTCTTGGACCCACATTTTATGCATTCAGGCCCCAAAGTCCCTAGTATAACATGTTATAAGTGATATGTATTGGCCAAATAAGACTTCATACTGCAGTAATGTATTACTGAAATATTTTGATTTTAATTTCTGCAAGATGGATTAGTGTTTGTTTTCTTTCAGTACTGCAGGGCACTTTTTGATGTCACAGTATCAAGTCATGAGAAATAGTAAAGGCAAACATACACATTAAAGAGATATGTTTAAATACATTTCTGTTTTACCATATTAAAAAGAATGCTTTGCACCCATATTACACTTAGGGTGTGTCTAGACTGGCAAGATTTTGTGCAAAAACTTGCCAGCCGTCTACACTGGCTGCTTGAATTTGCGGAAGAGCACTGATGTTCTACTGTGCGAAATCAGTGCTTCTTGCGCAAATACTTTCACGCTCCCGCTCAGGAAAAAGCCCTCTTGCGCAAATGTTTTTGCGCAAAAGGGCCAGTGTAGACAGGCAGCTAACACGTTTTGCGCAAAAGCAGGCTAAATGGAAAAAAGCCCTAGTGGACGCTTGGAGGCTCTGTACCGCAACCAGCTCCCGGACTGTCAGCCCCTCCCCTACACAGGTGTAGTGACAGAAGCAACAGCATCTCAGAATTCACTACTTAGGGTGTGCTGAGCATGCTCAGTAAGAGCAGTTGTTGCTGCTGCCCTCACTCTGCCATTACATGGATTCAGATGCTGCTTCTGACTCTTTACCAGCATTTAAAAAGAGTTCAGGGGTCAAATCAGAGCAGGGGGATGGGCAGGGTGTAAGCAGGGGGACAGAAATTAATTGGCCTGGAGGGGCCCAACTAACTTTAGGGTGAGGCAGAAGAGGGGCTGGAAAGGAAAAATCAGGTGGGGGGGGGGGAGGAGGGGTGATTGGAGTGTGCAAAGGCAGGGGGGAGGGGAAGAGAGGGGTTTTATTTCCCATCACAGGGCAAAATGTGGGAGCACAGGGCAGCTTCCTGACTGTGCTCTTAGAGGTACAGCTTCCCTAATGCCTTGGCTCTCCCTGATATCCACACAGAGCCTGATATCTTTCTGCATTGCTACAGTGCAGGAGACTGAATGCTGTAAAACATCTCACATACAGTGTGTGAGGGAGTGTGTAACATTTTTAGGATCTAGAAGTTTTTTTATCAGTTTATATGTCAATGTGAAGCCTCATAACAGTTCACAAATTTGTCTTATCAGCTACTGTGATTCCCTGACTTGCACTTCCATTCTGGTAATCCATTTTAATTATAGTTTTGCTCCTTTGAAAACGTTATGTCTATTTCTCTTATTACGCTGAACACTTCATCATTTCTCTGTATTACCACTATGCAATGCATCATTTCATCATTTATCTGTATCATTGTGCAATGCATGTCATGGCACTATTTGCTTTTTTTTAATGGCTAATACTCAAAATCATTTAAGTAACTAGTAGTTACTGGTGTTAGCAATTTCATCCGTGTTCCTATTATAGCACTTGCAGCGGTTTTTGTACTTTGATTTGTACCTTGGAGTTAATTTTCCTTTTTATTTTTATAAAGCACAAGTTTTATTCTGTTTATTCTAACTGTGAACATATCTTAGACACTGCTGTGAACTTACTGTCATGAAGAAAAGTTTGCTGTTACCTAAAATGTACTTCACTACTACTAGCCTATGTATAGTTTTAACTGAAAAACTCTGAAAAAGAAGACTGGAATATTTTGGAGTATTGTTTTTCACTTAAGATACTTCAGCAAGAT